GTCAATGCAATAGTAGTACATAATAAAAAAGAGTGAAATCTGTTTGAATCTTTTATTGAAGAGTTATAGGAGAAATACTAAGACATTCAAGTAAGTAGCTAAGCGCTTTCGAGCGTGTGAATTCGCATTCTCTAATTTCATCTCCTACACACCAATGAACAAAAGTAGATAAAATTTGTAATCCAAGTTGCTGAATGAGGCAGCAATAGCAATTGTGTTTTATATTACTGTCCGCATCATCTGTTTCTCCGCCTAGCTCACATGCACGATTTTAAATCCATTTGGAAACAAAATGAATTTCTGATTTCACATTCTTTGGTACACGTCCTTGATAGAGCATGGAATACGTCAGATATTTATGAACCGACCTAAAAATACAACTCCTGGCAGGAATTTTCAACTTTTGCCTCGCCTTGGCGAATTTTTTTTACTACCTCACTCTCGAATAATAATGATCATTCATTGAAATCATCATTGATATTATAATCTATTGTAGTATATTATTTAAATTAACATTCAATGTAATACTAATTATAGTTATCTACAAATTTCTGTTTCATTGTCTTCCATTCCGTCTCAGGCATACCAAGGAACAAATGCAGAAAAAATTTGTAGTCCAAGTTACTGAATGAGGGAGTAATAGTAATTGTGTTTCATAGCACTCTCCGCTTGATCTATTTCACCGCCTAGCTCTCATGCACCACTGTCGCATTCAATATCTTTTATTATAAATATTTTAAACCCATTAGGATACCAGTTGAATATGTGATTTAGATGTTTTAGCCTATATCTCTGCATTCGCATTGTTTGATTCATGTCCTTGGTAGAGCTTGCATAACGTCAGAAATTTATGTACATGTTTGCTCTTTGAATCCGGACAAAATGTCCTAGCCAGAGTAGCCGTTATTCGCTGAACTATGGAAATGTCGCAGTATAACTAGTACAGCTCATCGTTCCATCGTCTGCGATGTTCGCCGTTGCTAATGCGCAAAAGACAATAAATCTTACATAAATTCTTTCTCTCGAAAAATCTTAACGCCATGCTTCCGCACTATATAGCATGAAGGCTATAATGTGCGACTTGTAGAAATTTGTTTTTGTTCGTCGAGAGAGGATCTTACATTTCGATGGCCTACTCAGTCAAAAGTAGCACCTGTTGGAAAGAGTGATTTTGCGCTGGATTTCATGGTTATTATTGGTGTTGATATAGGTTCCTAGATAAAAGAAGTTGTCTACGACCTCGAAGTTATGACTATCAAAAGTGACATGTGAGCCAAGTTGCGAATGAGATGACTGCTTGTGTGATGACAAGAGATACTTGGTCGTGTGTGTCGACCCTCTTTTCACAGGTATTTTCCGAAATTTAGCGCAGGGTGAATATTTTGTCAATGGTCTATTTACCAGGTCTAAAACCACGCTGGTAAGGTCCAATCATCTTGTTGACGTCTTTCAAACAAAATACTCGATAGGGTCTTATACGCAAGAGGGCTTATCTCACGGTAATTGGTGCACATTCGGGCTCACCAAATCCGGGTGATTTATTTTCACTACACTCCAGCAAGCCGGAGAAGTATTCTCTTCTAACTAGAGGAATTTTGCTTCGATCTTCAGCTCTCGGTATCTATCCCATCCGGTACGCATTGTGGTTGATCGCAAGGCTGTCTTCGTCGTACCACACTGTTCCGAAATCCAATAATTTCGTGTGAAGCTTTACGTAAGGAGCTTGAAATTCCATCCCTCAGTTCCCATATACCAAGGAGCTCCTCGTGTTTGTTGATGCTGAAATTTTCGACATTTGTGTCAAAGATACCTTCTTTGCCCATCCTGGCGTTGAGGTCGCCAAGCGCAGTTCTGGAATTGTGGTGAGTACGGCGCTCATAAAAGGCATATTTGACTAAATCGTCCCTTTCTTCCGTCAAGGCGTGGGCGGAAATCAGCGATATGCTGAAAAATTTCGCTTTAATGCGGATTGTGGCGAGACGCTCAACAACTAGGGTAGATGTCAGTACGCGAAGACGAAATACCTCTCCCACTACAAATCCGACACCAAATTTGCAATCCTTTATATGGCCGCACTTCTTGAACGGCGGTGATGTCAGCCTTGTCAGGTTCCATACGGGTTGGTTATCGCGCAACAAAGAATATGCAACCTGCTCAAGTTTGCAGGTTACGCAACGTTGTCGCAAAAGAAGGACAACAACTGTTACACCCCCACCAATGATATTAAAATTTAGTTTTATTATTTAACTAAAAATTTCCGTATAAACGTACAAACATATGTGAAAAGCAAAGATGGTTCGTATAAATATACAAAATTACAATCAATTTTTTACGTACCATTTGAGTTAACGGAATTCGCTGCAAAAATATGAATTCGTAAATTCACTGCGACAATGGGCTTATAAGCATACTACTTATTTCTACTTAAATAAAAAGGCAAAATGAAAAAACATAAAAATTATAATCCCTAGAGTATAAATAATACTTAAGCTTCTCTTATATATTATTCTGAAGATCATATTGTTGCGAAAATGCGTGGCGAATGTCAGATGAAAGAGAGAAGCCGATAATTAGTACATTCTAGAACGATAAAACGAGAACCTTCGATAGAAAACAACTCGATTATTCTACACTTTCGTCTGCGAGCAGCCGACTGCTATATAAGGGCGACACTCAGCTGCCAAGTCAAGTTAGTGACAAAGTGAACTCGTTGGCGTTAACATCAGTAAAGTCGTAAAGTAAACGCGTTGGGGATTACATTTAAGTAGAGTAAATTGTGAAAGTTTATGATTGTAGCTAGTAAAGTGCATTGTTATTGAATTGTGAATTACTGAGTAAATAAAGGACATTAGATAAATTTTTTGTATCGAAAGAAACTGCAAATTAAGTTGGCGAGTTTTACTTACCAATCCAGAGATCGTACCCGAAGGATATAGAAAATCATCGAGGTTGATTAAGCAAAATCATAACAATTGGTGTCAGAAGTGGGATTGTTAAATAAATCCCAAAGGATAATATTTGAAAAATGGCAAAGATTCAGGATTTAACAATACCTCCTCTCAAGAGGGAGTTGGCAAGGCGAGGATTATCGACAACTGGAAATAAGCCAGAGTTGCAATCGAGACTGCGAGAAGCAATGGAAGTTGAAGGCATCGACTTGAACCAGTACGAGTTCCATCGCGAGGATGAAGATGTATACTTGAAGGACATTGACAAGAAAGAGGCTGATGATTCTGTGAAGGAGTTTGAATCACCATCATGTAATATTCAAGAAAAGGGGCCCGGCTCATCTAAGGGTATTGACATGAACATGTTATTGATTGCGATCTCACAAAATATGTCTGAAATGAGAGCCAGCTTCTCAAAAGAGATGGATGCACAGGAAGTCAGCATTTCACAAAAGTTGGATGCACAGGATGCCAGCATCTCACAAAAGATGGATGCACAAATGCTTGAACAGAGAGAGCAGATATCATCCTTGGAAGGAAAAATAGCGCAAATACAGCAAAATCTTGTGAAGAACAATTCGGAACTTAAGGAAAGGCAGGATCTAATTGAGACCAAAGTCAACGCATTGGAAAGTCGTTTCCGNAGATACTTGGTATTCGAAAAACTCGAACGACAGCCCTGCATCCTCAATCAGATGGTATGGTAGAGCGATTCAATCGGACCCTGGAAGAGCACTTGCGGAAATTGGCGATGAGAGAAGAATTGGGAAGGTAACGTCCGAGAAACAAGATGAAAGTGGTCCACCTTTAGAGGCTTGCTGAGTTTGGAACAGTGAATGTGTCTGATCGGGACGATCTGACTTAGGTGGAGTGCAGTGTTGCGAAAATGCGAGGCGAATTCAAGATGAAAGAGAGAAACCGATAACTAGTACATTCTTGAACGATAAAACGAGAACCTTCGATAGCAAGCAACTCGATTATTCTACACTTTCGTCTGCGAGCAGCCGAGTGCTAGATAAGGACGACACTCAGGTTAGTTAAAAGTGAACTCGTTGGCGTCAACATCAGTAAAGTCGTAAAGTAAACGCGTTGGGGATTACATTTAAGTAGAGTAAATTGTGAAAGTTTATGATTGTAGCTAGTAAAGTGCATTGTTATTGAATTGTGAATTACTGAGTAAATAAAGGACATTAGATAAATTTTTTGTATCGAAAGAAACTGCAAATTAAGTTGGCGAGTTTTACTTACCAATCCAGAGATCGTACCCGAAGGATATAGAAAATCATCGAGGTTGATTAAGCAAAATCGCAACAGTATTTTTAATCGAGAAAATATAATTGGCGCTTTTGTAACTGCTGAAGTAATTTACGGCCGAGCTCTTCTTACGATTTGTGCTGTGCGTCTTGATGTTTTTAGAGGAAAACACAGTTTATACTAAGCCGCTTCCGAACGGCGGATGATTTTTATAAGCATCATTTATTTCCTTACCGAGAAGCGACCACCATTAGAGAATTTACCAATTTATTTTTTAAAATTGTTTTCTTTTTTTGGGTGTTTGTCGTACCAGGATGTGCACCCTGGCTTTCCAAATGGCAGCACGCAATGCTAACCACTCGGCTACTGCACTATCGAAAAAAATTATACCACTATAATTTAATTTATGGACACTTTTGACAACAATTTTTTTAAAGTTATTGAACAAATCTCCAAGGCGACATTACGACAATATAGTTGCCTCCTCTAATTTTCATCAAAAATTTGTCAAAAATGCTGAGAAATAAAAGTATAAAAATAAAAGCAATAAAAGAAAACACTATAATGCAATTATTTGTTTGAATCCAAAACAATAAACATATGTATATTAAATACGAATATCTTAGTAATTAATAGAGCAACTATAATGTCTAAACAGATATATTCACCAAGTAACTTCAATATTTTATTTTCTGTGCCTAAAACCTGTAGGTTTTCTTGCGTTTTCAAATAGGACTAAAATAAAGTAACCTTCGAGCCAGAAAACTGTCAAATTGCTGCTCGTGTGAATGTGGTAAATCGGATTCGCAATTAAGAGGGCGAACAATGTAATACACGAAGCCGTGGGAGCCTAGTATTACTGCGAAAATATTTTGTGTAAACTAGCCTGAAGGAAAATCGGCTTAATATTAATTATAAAAATTGGTTAATCGAAATAGCAACATGGCAACATTTTAGGCGAATAATTACCGAGTTCTTGTTCTGTATTTATATAGTGACGAAATCTAAAAATACACTTGCAAGTGAGAGTATTGTTACGAATTTGCAACCAAAGGAATATTGATAATAAACTCAATTTATGTCGAACCCAATTCAAAATTATTTAATTGCTATAACTCAATTTATATGTGCGACATTTTCTGCTGGCCAACATAAATATAAGGTAATTAGACATGACAGGGGCGTTCGTTATAACTATTGAAAAATTACAGGGGGTTTTGGGATAAGTAGGTGTATTTAATGATTATCTTTTCCTTAAAAGTGCGGTAAAGCTGAATTTTGCAATAGTTTTGTTATTATTAACGTTTAAAGTTGCCACTAAAATTGCTAACAAACATTGCATATAAATGCCAGGTTAAAGCGATGTTGCCATACTATAAAAGAAATGTAAAAAAGGGTAATAAATGAGACGGTGTGAACCAACAATTTTTTTATTTTTACAATCGAATAGAAACAAAAATAAATTATATTCATGTTATTTAAAAAAACCGAAGTCGAAAATACATTTCATTCCCTTATATATGCAAAAATGCAGTCGAAAAGGTAATTATACAGGAGGGCGGCTTTTGGTAAACTGTCCAGAAATGATGGGGTTTTTGGCCTATTCTGTATTTGACTATTATCTTTTCATTAAGAGTGGGGGAAAGCAGAACTTGCAATAGTTTTATTATTATTAACATTTAAAGTTACGCTAAAAACACTAGCACGCACAATACATTCAAATACATAGCTAAAGCGATGTTGCCATAAAAACTAAAGTATGGCGAAAGCGACGCTGTCATACTTTGTAAGAAACTTAAAAAGAGCAATAAATAAGGCGGAGCAGGTGTGGGTCCGGCATAGTTTGTTTTTCGATTTATTGAAACGAATAAATGCGAAAATTCATATTGCTTACATAAACATACATTTACCAAAACGAGAATTCATATTGTTACGATTTTGCTAAATCAACTTCGATGATTTTCTGAATCCTTCGGGTACGATCTCTGAATTGTTAAATAAAACTCGCCCACTTAATTTGCAATATCTTTCGTTACGACTTTACTGATGTTAACGCCAACGAGTTCACTTTGTCACTAACTTAATTGGCAGTTAAGTGTCGCCCTTATATAGCAGTCGGCTGCTCGTAGACGAAAGTGTGGAATAATCCAGTTCGCTACCGTTTTGTCGTTCTAGAATGTACTAGTTATCGGTTTCTCTCTTTCATCTTGAATTCGCCTCGCAATATCGCAACACTGCCACTCCACCTAAGACTGATCGTCCCCATCAGACACATTCACTGTTCCAAACTCAGCAATCCTCTCAAGGTGGACCACTTTCATCTTGTTTCTTGGACTCCCAACGGTTTGGATTCGATACACCACGTCGTTTAGTCGTTTGATTATCTTGATTTTCTTGTATAGATCTTCCCAATTACATTGAAGTTTTGGGGACAAACTCTTCTTCCGTTGTGGATTGTACAGAAACACCAAATCTCCATTTTTAAAACCCTCGGAGTTCACTCTCCTCGTCATACCTGGCCTTCATTTTGTCACTCATAATTTGAGTTCGCTGTCTCACAAGAGCATGCACCTCTCTTAGCTCTTCCTCGAGATCGGTAGACGTTACCTTCCCAATTCTTCTCGCATCACCAGTTATTCCAAAATTTTAATCGCTTGGCAACCGTAGTTCACTACCAAACAGTACCCTTGCAGGTGTTTGCCCTGTAGTAACATGCACGGAGGACCGATATCCCATCAGGAAAAGCGGTATATGCACATCCCAATCATCCTGATGCTTGTCCACTACTTTTCGCAAGTGCTCTTCCAGGGTCCGGTTGAATCGCTCTACCATACCATCTGATTGAGGATGTAGGGCTGTCGTTCGGGTTTTTCGAATACCAAGTATTTGGCACATCTCCTGGAACACCGCCGATTCAAAGTTTCTTCCCTGATCTGAGTGCAATTCTATAGGCGCACCGTATCTGGTAACCCAGTTGTTAGTGAATGCATCCGCAACTGTTTTTGCTTCTTGGTTTGGGATTGGGTAAGCTTCATGCCATTTACTGAAGTATTCCATAACCACAAGAACGTAATTGTTTCCTCCTTTGCTCGTAGAGAATGGACCGGCTACATCCATAGCAACCCGCTCAAATGGTGCCCCTGCGTTATACTGCTTCATCTGCCCATGAGTTCGGGACTTTGGGCCTTTAGCTGCTATGCACTCCGTGCAATTAGCAATCCACTCCGCGATCGATTGCCGACAGCCAACCCAATAGAACCGCTGCTTGATCTTTTCTAGCGTTTTTGTAATGCCTAGGAGCCCTCCACTAGGACCGTTATGGAATTCCTTGAGAACATCCGGAATTCTTAACATCGAAACTACTATTACCTTCCGGGAGCACTGGCCATCTTCCAAACATCGGGCAAACAGCCCGATATCAGCTCTAAACTGTTCCATTGTGCCCAGTATGCCTTCGCGATAGGACTTTCCGCAGCCATTTGTTCCTTACTTGGTCGTCTATTTACTTCCAACCCGTGCATTATTAATTCTAAATCTGTATCTTCTTGCTGACATATCCTTAAGTTGCTTGCCTGCCACTCATCTTCTTGCGTAACTTTTATTTGCCGGACGTCTATTATGTCCTCTTTACCCTCAGCTTTTGAGCAATGTTTCCATTCTATATTACATGGTCGACGGGACAAGGCGTCAGCATTTGCGTGCGTATTCCCCTTGTGGTGCCCGATTCTGAAGTCATAACTTTGAGAAGTTGATGGTTCATCTTCCTCTGCCTTCCGTTTTCGCTGTACCTCCTGTCTGCTGAAACTGTTTTTGCCTTCGCGTGCAAAGTGACCAGGCTTTCCACATTCAAAGCATTTTCCCGCTTGAGTCTTGAAACCAGAACGATTCATCCCTTCTATCGATTTCATAGTTCTCAATATTTCCGTCATCACATCTGGTGTTTCGAAGTCTACTTTATTGACTTTGTAGGATGGTCTAATGAGTGCCGCCGTTTCACGTGTTTGTGCATACGCAACTGTTTCAGCGAATGTCAACTTTGGATTCGCATATGTCTCTCGCTTGGTGTACACGTTGTTGTTGTGGTTGTTGTAACCGAAAAATTATTCCCCAAAGTACTTTTTGGGGAATATTGTGGGAGTGACAGTCCTTGGCCGGATAAAAATCCGGGTCGTTCCGGTGTAAAGACCCGACTGTCGCGGGAACTATTGGATTTTAGTCGCCTCTTACGACAGGCATGCCTTACCCGCAGGGTGTACACGTCTTTTATTCCGCTGATGAATCTTTGTTTCTTCACCCTTTCAAGATGCTCACGCGATGTGTCTCCAATAGCTAAATGAGCCAATTTCTCAACTTCCGAAGCATATTCCCCCAGAGATTCGTTGGATTTTTGGTTGCGCTTTTCTAACTCCATCTGGTAAATCTGTCTTCTGTGTTCGCTACCATAGCGTCTTTCCAGGGCTCGCATCAATCCGTCGTAATCATATCTCTCGTTTACGGATTAGTTTGCAAAAGTTCGGCTGCAGGTCCTTCCAACGCAACGAATAGTGCAGCGGATTTCTTTTTTCTATGCTCCAGTTTTTTGTTTCAGCTGTCTCCTCAAAATGGAATTTAAAGACTTGAAATGGGATTTTCCCTTCAAAAGATGGTGTTTTTATCTCGGAGCGTTCACTGCAGCGGTTGGACGATTTAACTGAAATTCCCGGAAACGACTTTCCAATGCGTTGACTTTGGTTTCAATTAGATCCTGCCTTTCCTTAAGTTTGGCATTGTTCCTCATCAGATTTTGCTATATTTGCGCTATTGTTCCTTTTCCAGAGTTGACATCTGCTCCCTCTATTCAACCATTTGTGATGTAATGTTGGCATTCTGTGCATCCATCTTTTGTGAGATGCTCGAGATCGCAGTCAATAACATGTTCATGTCAATACCCTTAGATGAACCATCAGCCTCTTCCTTGTCAATGTTCTTTTAGGATATATCTTCATCCTCGCGATGGAACTCGTACTGGTTCAAGTCGATGCCTTCAACTTCCATTGCTTCTCGATTGCAGCTCTGCCTTGTTTCCAGTTGTTGACAATCCTCGCTTTGCCAACTCCCTCTTGAGAGGAGGTATCGACAAATCCTGAATCTTTACCATTTTGCAAATATTATCCTTTGGGATTTATTTAACAATCCCACTTCTGACACCAATTGTTACTATTTTGCTGAATCAACCTCGATGATTTTCTGAATCCTTCGGGTACGACAATTCACAATTCAATTACAATGCACTATACTAACTACAATCACTTGCATGAACTTTCACAATCTACTTTAATTAAATGTAATCTCCGACGCGTTTACTTTACGACTCTATACTGATGTTACCGCCACTTTGTAACTAACTTAACTTGGCAGCTGAGTTTCGCCCTTATATAGCAGTCGGCTGCTCGTAGACGAAAGTGTAGAATAATCGAGTTGTTCGGTATCGAAGGTTTTCGTTTTATCGTTCTAGATTGTACTAGTTATCGGCTTCTCTTTTTCATCTGACATTCGCCTCGTATTTTCGCAACAATATGAAGAAAAATTAAATAAGAAATAGAATGTTGGCACTGAAGTAAAAAAATAGTTCGGACCAATGCCGGCTTCACCTTGCACAGTATTTTTGGTAATTATACAGGAGAGCGACTTTTGCTAAAACTGTCCAAAAATTTTGGGGTTTTTGGCTAAATAGATTTATTTGATTATTATCTTTTTATTAAAAGTGGGGGAAAGGTGAATTTTGCAATAGTTTTATTATTATTAACATTTAAAGCTACACTAAAATAACTAGCACACACATTACATACTAATATTGTACATGGCTAAAACAATATTGCCATACTGTGTTAGAAACTTAAAAAAAGCAATAACTAAGGCGGAGCAATAGGGAAATTCTCTATCGTATTATAAAGATTTTCTGATCGCCATAATGACATAACAATAATTTTAACGTTTTTGCTATTCTCTAAGCACAGTATAACGATTTTCGGATCGCAAATTAGACTTTGCGATATTTTTAACGATAATCGCTATTCTCTAAAATGGTATAACGATTTTTGGATCGCAAAGAAGACTTAGCGATAATTCTAACGATTTTAATATTCGGTGTACTTGTTTTAACGATATTCGCTCTCGCTGTTG